AAAGCGTCAGCTTTCCTGCTCCTCTGATGCTGCCTGGCCTGCTGTGTTCATCCAGCTCTACACCTTGTTATCTCAGACTCCAGTATCGGCAGTTCCTACTATCTCGGGCACAATTTGTGTTCGGATTGGAGATTCCGCACTCAATTATGCAGCTAGGCCAGGTATCAGGTGGGAGAGGGGTTAGGCTGCAAACTGAAAGTCAATCACTGCCACCAATTCAAAGACCTCTACCCTTTAACTCTCTCCTTATTTGTGATGATAACCTAAAAACAGTGAATAAATAACATCTAATAATAACTTGCGCTGCCACATTTAGCGGCAGGCTCTGCTGCTACATGTAACTGTAGTCCCACATGTAGGCCTTTTCAATCACACTAGAGTTGCATCCTCATAAATGGAGCAAGTTACTCCCAAACTTTTTCCCATCTGATTACTGAGAAATGGTGTGTGCGACAAAAACAGTTATAGTTAATTGGATCTTTAACCAGCTCGATAGCTTGAAATAGTAAGCATGATTTTTTTTCAAAATGCTAGATAAGCCTCTGATTTTGGCACCTTAACTGTCCTTAAAATCCCAGACTGGTGTAATGACGTTGGTTTGTGGATCTGACGTTTTTATGGACTGTGAGGGGTTGGGATGTGGATAACCGGCTCTTTCATTAATGTAATTCAGGAGGTGACAGGACTATTCTAAATTTCATTTGATCTCAGCCTCACGCTGTGTGCTTGGTCAAGTTTTAATACCCCCAGAGAAACGGGGGCTGGCTGCACAATGAATATTGCCTTGTTGATGTTGTTCATGTGCTAAGAATATATTTTTCAAATGTAGTAGACCGTAAGAAATAGGAGCAGGAGTAGGCCATTCAGCCCATCGAGTCTGCTCTGCCATTCAATAGGATCCATGACTTATCTGACACTCCGCATGTCCATTATCCTGCCCTTTCCCATAACCCTTGATTCCTCTACTGATCAAGAATCTATTTCAGCCTTAAATATACACAAGAACTCTGCCCCTACAGCTGTGGGTGGCAAAGATTTCCAAAGACTCACAACCCTATGAGAGAAGAAATTCTTCCTCATGTCAATCTTAAATTGATGCTCCTTTATAGAGTTCCTACAGTGCTGAAGGAGGCCCTTCAGCCCATCGGGTCTGCACCCACCATCTGAAAAGCATCCCACCCAGACCTTCACCCCATCCTGCATTTCTTGTGGCTAATCCACCAGCCTGTACATCCCTGGACACTATGTGGCAATTTAGTATGGTCAATCCATCTAACACACACATCTTTGGACTGTGGGAGGAAACTGGAACACCTTGACAAAATCTACATAGAGACAGGGAGAATGTGCAGACTCCACACAGACAGTCACCCAAGGCTGGAATTGAACCCAGATGCCCAGCGCTGTGAGGCAGTAGTGCTAACCACTGAGCCACTGTGCCTGAGACAATGCCTTCTGGCCCTAGACTCCGCCTTAAAGGAAGCATCCTCTCAGCATTTACCCTTCCAAGCCCCTTAAGAATCCTATATGTCTCAATAAGATCACCTTTCATTCTTATAAACTCCAGAAAGTAGAGTCCCAACCTGCTTAATCTTTGCTCATAAGACAATCCCTCCATGCCAGGGATCATGCTAGTGAACCTTTTCTGAACTGTCTCCAATGAAATGATATCTTTTGTTAAATAAGGGACACTAAAACTGCTCACCGTACTCCAAATTTGGTCTCACCAGCACCTTGTACGTTTGCAGCAAGACTTCCCTACTCTTATACTCCAACACCCTTAGAATAAGGACCAACATTCCATTAGCGTTCCTGATTACCTGCTGCACCTGTGTGCTAGCTTTCTGTGTTTCACAAGTATCCCCAACTCCCTTTGTGAGCTTTCTTCAAACAATTTTATTTCTATAAATCAGTAGCTTGCCAGCCCATCTCAGATGGGGAGGTGATGGCTTGTGGGTAAAATTGCTGTACTGGTAATCAAGAACCCCAGCTAATATTCTGTGGACATGTATTCAAATCCTACCAAGATGGTGAAATTTGAATTCATTAGTCCAAAGATGTGCAAGTTAGGTGGATTGGCTGTGCTAAATTACCCATAGTGTTCAGGGATGTGTAGATTACGTGCATTAACCACGGGAAATGCAGGGTTACAAGGATAGGGTTAGGGGATGGGTCTGGGTGGAATGCTCTTTGGAGGGTTGGTGTGGTCTTGTTAGGCCGAATGGCCTGTTTCCACGTTGTGTGGATTCTATATCTATATAAAGCTTGAATAAAAGCTAGTCTAATGATGACCGTATAACCCTCATCGATTGTCATAAAAACCCTGCTGCTTCACTGTTGTCCCTTGGGGAAGGAAATCTATTGTCCTTACCTGATTTGGCCTACATGTAACTCCAGACCTACAGCAAAGTGGTTGACTCTTAAATGCCCTCTGGGCCATTTGGGATGGGCAGTAAATGCTGGCCTCGCCAACAATACCCACATTCCATGAACAAATTTTTAAAAAAGAGAATCGTATGTAAGTCTCACCAAGAAACAGTAATAGATACCCTTCCCTGAAGAGATTTATTCATTCAAAGGCCATGAGTTATTTACATTAAATTGTAACGCAACTGTTTCAGGATTATGACCGGTTTCTTAAAACATTGAAACTCAGGTTAAATGCAGCTTAGGGAGAGACTTCATTCAGGTGAATAAAATATCAAATTATGGAGATAAGGTAACCCAAGAGTACTAAGCTGGATAAACAGGACCAGAAAAAATGGAAATACGTTTAAATTAAAGAAACAAAAATTTAAAACAGATACTAAGAAGAAATTAATCACAATGATTGATAGTTGAATGGAACAACCTGACAAGCATATAAAATAATTTTGAGAGCAAGTGTAAGTTTTCTCAAGAAGGAACATCATATGTAAAGAATACGGGAGAAACCGTGGGGCAATTTCAGGATTTGAATAGAGGGAGATGCATCCCAAGAGAGAAAAATTGTGTATCCATCCAGCTTTCTAATTACTCTTGTGTTTTTGCCTGGGAATGCTGGCACACCCAGAGCTTGTACATACGAGTGTGGCTTTGACTGTTAAAATGCTCTTCGAGAAGACCGAGCAATAGATCATGGGGGCTTCACCCCTGCTCCAAAATTCAAGTCTGTAAGTTTACCTCACTGGACCTTCCCTCCAGGAGATATGCTCTTTACTGCACAACCTTTCTGCACCTCCTGGTTGATATCCACTCACATTTGGTGCAGGTATGGAATCACCAGGAGCTGGGCTTGACCTGAAATTGTAGAGTAAGCTACTGGGCTGGTGTGTAGCAGTGAAGCAGATTAGACGTTAATTTATTGATACAGCACGGAGAAGATCTTTGTAGATTTTCGCAGGATGGCAGCATTATCTGCTGTTTTGTGTAAAATGAGAAGATGACAAAAGATCTCTGAAACCTATTTTGATGAAGGAACGCCATTTTATGGAATGCAGCAAGTTGTGATGATCTGGAATGTACTACCTGAAAGAATAGTGGATACAGATTTAATTGCAACCATCTAAAAGGGAGTTAACTAAGTACTTGACAGGAAGTCTTTGTCAGGGGAGTGAGATTAACAGTTAATTCTTTCAAAGATTGGCCGTGATTGCCCAAAGTGTCTGCCTTCTGTGCTGTATCCTTGATTATATGGATATTTGACATTTGTGCTAAACAAGTCTCTTTTTAAGCTGAAAATAGCTTCAAATCTGTTTAGGATGTGCAAATCTTAGAATGAAATCCAGTGTTGAGGCTGACCTTGTCATATTAGTTGCTGGGATGAAGAGTTGAGATTGAGCAAGTTTAGGCCTTACTTAAGTGGCAAGTGTGCTGAACATCAGAGTTACTTTTAGAAGTGATGAAATCCAACACATCTGTCTTTCCTTAACTTCCAGTATGTAGAAGAAAAAGGACGTGGCCCTGGTTCAGTCCAAGATCTGACTAACGTTGTTTAAAATCTAATGTGAATTAAACTCATTGCAGGAGGGTAACGTGGATTGTGGAGAAATTTTCACGATGGACAACTTTTTAACCATGCCACGTACCACTGGGGACTGTACACTCATCCCGAGGCAGAATCTTGGTGCCAGTAATGGGGGACTTGGCCATCAAATAATTGGAGCTGCAGGACAAAAATCTTAAATTTCAGTCCAACAGTCATGAACAAAATGATGGCTGGTTTTTTTGCAAAACAATCTCTGCTTCCTAACACAATCTGCAATAGCTGTTCAGCTTGGGAAATGAAATCATTTGCTCAGTGAGCTGATGACACCCCAGGTCATCTCTCTCTGGGGTCACCTGTATTAAATGCTAATTAGGCCCTCAATAGGCCTCTGGGCCATTCTCTGGAGTTAGGAGCCCACTAGGGCTGCCTGCTGTGCTTAAACCTATTCCTGGAGGTTTTCTGACGTGATTTCCCCCACATTCCAGCCAGTAATTGGACAACACTTGCATCCTCATGCTTATCCTATGCCAACTGAAATGCAAAAAGACTCATTAACTGATTGTGTGATGCTTGACTGTCTTCCAAACAGCCTCTTCCTCCCTCTATTTTCAATATTTTTGTATCTGTTAAAAGGAGAGGTTGAAAGTATATGACAAAAGAAACACAATCTATATAACACTGCTATGATTTTTCAAGGAATGCACACACCAGTTTCTTGGAGATCGATCTTCAATGTGTGGAGAAACTCCAGGCTAATCCTGCAGGCTTGACAACACCAGGCCTCAGGAGCTGTACCCTGCCCACTGACGAGAGATTGGTGACTTCTGCTGGAACGGCACCTACCCAAGGGCCAGGACCAAAGTCATTGGTAGAAGGTGGCAGGAGAGGGTTTGGGTTGTGGCTGCGGGAAGTGCAGCAAGGGCTGGGAGCAACTCCAAGTGGATTCCCTGCTCCTTCCCAATGCTGGGTCCTTCGATCAGGCACTGAGCATCATTGAATGAGGTATTCCCCACTGATATTGTTCTGATCAGAAAGCCGGCCAGGGTTTGCCTGTTGTGCATGCTGCATGGCAAACCGAAAGACCACTGTTGGGTTAATACCAGTAGCAGTGCCAAGAGCCCATGTAAGGGTCTTAATGGGCAGCAGGGCACAAAGGCCATCTCTGTGCCTTTTCACCTTGGACTGAATTGAGGTGGAGGTTCGAAGTTGGCAGTGTACCCACTTGCCACCCTCCTGCCCGATTAAATGCCCCCCCAGCACAAATCCACCACATGAGGGCACAGGAATCAGTCCAATGAGTCAGAAGTGAAGTCCCACACCCGAGACCTGAGCACAAAATTCAAGCTGACATTTCACTGCAATGCTGAGGGAGTACTGCGCTGTTGGAGATTCCTTTTAGATGAGGCATTAAACAGAAGTCCTCTCTGCTCTCTCAGTTGGTGTAATAGAGACCATGAAACAATTTTGAAGAATAATAAACAGAGTCCTGGCCGATATTTCTCTTTCAGTTAACATCAATCACACAGAATAGATTATTTAGTAATGATCACGTTGCTGTTTGAAGGAGTTTGCTGTGTGCAAATTGGCTGCCGTGTTTCCTATACTATAACAGAATCTGCACTTCCATAGTATGTTATTGGCTGGACAGTACCGTTGACATGTCATGAAAGATGCTGTATAAATGCAAATATTTATTTTCACAGATGATAAGACTCTTGCAACAACCTCCGTTGAACTGAGGGGAAAAGCTTCCTTGTGACCAGAAAACTGGGATATGGTGGTTTGAAGATGTTCAACTGTACGCTAGACGATACAAGTTATGAAACAAGGCTTGATAATGGTACCTTACCTTTTCAGCATGAACTTCAATCTGATTATTAGAGGTGGTAACAATAATATCTTCAGGTGAGAAGTCACTCACATCTACTGTGAACTGGTAATTGTCTCCCATGGTCTTTACATTCCCCATACTTCCGGGGCGGCCTATTTTGGGGGAAAACACATTGAACAATCCCATCAGCTATGTTTGCATTTGGCAATGTGAGTAATGTATACTATTGCATAAGTTGGAGGGTTGGATGGCTTCCATTCTAATGGGATGCAGTCCCATGTAGTTGCTTAGTCATTGAAAATTAACGCTTGAGTCAATTCTATATAAGTGCTATGATAAGCCAAGCTGACACTCTGGTATCCAACATGTGAAAGATATCTACAGCAATATGTTAAAATGCATGAGTCATTATCGTGCCCAGACACTTTTAATTCAAAAGCAGCGGAGTGACCTTTTCCATCCTATTAACATTCCAGCTGCAGGCTTATTATGGGCTGCTTACACTTCTCAAGCTGATGAGGCTGTATGCCAAGAAGTGAGTAGGGAGTTACATTTAGAATATGAGTTATCCAAATCTTATTCGGGAGCCTTTAAAGGAATCCGCTATGCTACAACAGATACAGACTGCTGCAGAGATAAGATGTAGATAAACAATCTGTAATCCAACAACTTGCATCCACAAACACAGAAAATTAAACAAAGTACAGCAGTATAATAAGGTCTGGTCAATTAAAAACTGTTTTCTTACTAACATGTATTTATTTACTTGTTCCTGTCTATCTCGTAGTTTCTCATTATCTTTCTCATTATCACTCTTCTGAAATCGTTATATGTATTTTATATATTTTTTAAACTTCATAGCCCCCACCTCCTTTTCTGCAAGTAGTTTAATGTGCCTGAACTGATGCTGGCAAACATCCAATATCTCACCAAAATGGCATTCGTGTGTAAACCTAAACATTGAGATATTGAAATACAAGGCTGATTTCATCTGATAACAAAGTGTGGAGCTGGAGAAACACAGGGCAGGCCAGGCAGTGTCAAGGGAACAAGAAAGCTGACATTTCGGGTCAGGACCCTTCTTCAGAATTTCAGACGTGAAACGTCAGCTTTGCTGCTTGGCCTGCTGTGTTCATCCAGCTCTACGGTGGGTTATCTCTGACTCCAACATCTGCAGTTCTTGCTATCTCACGGATTTCATCTGACTCGATCTGCCATCCACAATGTACTCCTCTGCTAGGGTCGTAAGAAAGAGGTCAGGGGTAGAAATTTTGGCTTGTTTTCCATAAACCCCTGCACCTGTTCATCACTTGCTGAAGAAAAGGATGCTAATTGTAATAACTCCATCACCATCGCTAGTGAGACTGGCTAACAACACATGAGGAGGTCTGCTGATAAAGTGGCTAGTGTTCCTGTCTTTGAGTCAGACAGTCCAGGTTGAAAGGGCCCTCCAATTCTTGATGACCAAAGGAGATGTGTTCATAACAAGTAGGATCAAGTTGTAAATCCTTCCAACGGCAATGGCAGGAAGAGCAGGAGAGATTCCTAGCCAGCCATTTGATAGTAAGGAAGTCTGAACCTCTACCATCACTACTCATAGCTCCATGTATAGAAAAGTACATTGCCATAGCAACTTGGAATTCTTGGGCTGTGGGGATGCGGGTTGTGGGGGGTGATGGGGCAGTGTTATGACCAGATCCAGTTTCCCTAAATTATTACAGTTCCAGATGGGATATCCCAAATTGTTAAGATCCCAGGTGAGGAGAGATGAACGGTCTCCCTTCTTTATTTACCCGATTCCTCATTTGGTCACGACAAAGTTAATTTTAAAAGGCCTCCTTCCTTGTGAATGTCTTTCTCCCAAATCAATTCGCAGTTTGAAAAGAGCCACCTTAACCAGGTTTTCTTAAGTTAACAATAGCATGAGTTTATTCGTTATTAAATGCAGGAAGAAATAACAATGCATGCACACAGTTTAGGAATAAGAAGTGAGTCCAGACAATAATAATATTTTTAAAAAGATATACAACTTAGCTTCTGTGTCGTTTGTGAAAAGTGGACAATAAAATGTTGCAGCCGTTACAATGGATGTTACCAGTCGCGTTCGAGTAGCCACTAGCACCAATACCAGTAGTTACCGTTTGGCAGTCAATTTGAAATTCTTGACATTGTAGGTTGATTGAGATTCATTTGTCCTGGTTCCTTTCAACAGTAGCTGACTGGCAGCATTCAGATTAAGAGAGATTATTCTCCCTTTCTTTACTTTCAGTTCAGAGGTGTTTAATGGCTATACTCAAAACTGTGACTTTCACAGCACATTTATCCATACACTACAATGTCAGGCCACTAATGCACACAGCCCAGAGCTGAAGCCCCTAACCCTGAGTATTCTTGAAAGGGAAGACCCAAACCATGTTTCTCACCCAGACTGCTATCCTTCCTCCCACTACATTCACAGTCTGAGATAACTTTCAGGAGGTAACAGTTCAGTTTGTAGAGCATTTCTCCCTTTTAAATTCATCCTTTTGAAGCTTCCTTGACACCTTGATAGGAGTGACATTCCATGGTCTCTCTCCAGGCAGCCGCTGAATTTATATCCACCGTCATTTTATTTGTATCGTTTTCATTTTTAAAAAAAAAGCAAGTTGGAATTAAAGCTTGACATGTCCATTGATGATCCAGGGCTATGATCCATGGTCATGACAACGGTTATCTCCATTGGCTGGAAGACCAGTGTGGATCAGATTGGAGCTCACAGCATGGTGTTCGATTCCTGTTCTGGCTGGGGTAGATTTGGGGCTTACAGGTGGTGGAGGTCATGGTGCTGTGTGGGTCAGACCTCTCTTCATGCAGACAACAGAAGAAGAAGAACACACCGGAGGTTGAACTAGATGGTACCTAGCCGCTCTGTGTGATTACACACAGTACACAGTGAACTCACTCACTGAGCCCAGAGGGGTGCTCCTTTTTCTCAATACGTTTCTTTTTATTTACTTTTCCTGTTATATTTACTTCATGCTAATAGCTTTCTCTGTGTGGATGTCTGTGGATAAAATACACTGAACAACTTCTGAACTCTTGGGATTTTGTATGAGGTTACTCGATCTTTATTGGATCATTCTTTATACATGTTGTCATCTGTAACCTTGATAATCTGAGCACGAGCTTTAAACATCAGTGACACAGATTGATCATAGCGATCAAATATCACGACTTTTGAAATATACTTGAGATTTTCAAATGTTTTTACTATCATGTGATACGAATAAGTTTAATGCATTATCATAGTTTCGATAAGCACAGTTTAAGGGAGATGTTTGTGGATCAATATGTAATTTTTACACTTGACCATTAGAAGGATACACATCTGACTGTATTATATCAGATAACATTTGAGTTTAATTGCTGAAAGGTAAACATCCAAACAAGAAATGTGAAAAAACAAATTAGGTAATTTTTTAGAGTTGGTATATTCACTGGCATCCGCAATCCCACAAAAAGAGTTTCAAGACAAGCATTTTAATCATTGTCATTGTCTTAAAATTTGGAATGTCATCCCAAGGTTGAGACAGTAATACAGAACTGTGCTAAATTAACCCAAGGCAGTTGAAAGATTTTTACCGTGAGGTGTTCCTCTGTGCTTTCTCAATCTGCTGCTCTAGTATGGGACTTGTTAGTTTTCTAAATGTCAATTAGTTTTGCACCCTAGTAAGCTTCCTGTCCCGTGATTAGTATACAAAAGGTAGAATTTATTCTTATTCTGTTCTCACTTTTATGTGTCTTAGTTTGTTCCCTATATGGATTTAGACAATTAATTTAATATAAATACAGTTGCATAACCACACATTCAGCTAAATGCACAGTTCCAAAATAATCTAATGTATGGCCATCCATTTCAAAGTATAAATTAATTTAAATTTTGCAAAGTACTTTCAATTAACTTTATCTTCTTCATTTACATTTCTATCTTCACTTCAATGTATTTAACTGGCATGCAATTATAGTTGCCTGGGGAATATCATTGCACAGTAGGTCATAATGACTCCACTTTTCTGAGATTTATTGATCATTATTTTCTGTTTTTGCAGAATTATTTCAAATTTCCATGTGAATTCTTTTCAGATGCAAGACACAATTTCAAATTTTAAACAGCGACATCTCTTTAACTAATTAAACAAGGAGACCCATTCAATTTCTGGTGTTAATAAAAGTGACTACAGAATTCATTGCTCTGGGCAGATTGCACTTACCTGAATATCCAAGTTGCTCACTCCGGGGCCTCAAAAAGTTTCCATGGAGGATTGAGGACTTCTCGAACTCGTCCCCAAAGAGACCTCTTGATTTATCCATGTACTGATCCAAAGCCGGACTCGAAGAAGAAGAGGAGGAAGTGGTGTTCTGATGAAAGCAACGCTCAGATCTGAAGGCAGTACAGGATTTTACACTCATGGAAGGCAGATACACTTTAAATCTCAAAATTCTACTTCACCAGCTCCTTTCTAGCACCCCTGGATGGCCAGGAAATATTGGATAAGCTTCCAAAGACCAAATCGTCTTTTGTGCTCCGATTGTATTCTACTCTGCTTTTATACAGACTCCTGCCAATGCGTCTGACTGCCAAAGTCAAATTTTGACGTTAATTTTAGCTCTGGCCACATCAGGCATGCAGTTGTGAAAATTCTAACAGATGAAAGGTCGTCAGAGTCCTCCAAACAAATGGAGTGATCAGGAATGTGTTCTCATAGCAAACATTCCAGCTCAGTTCGACGGAGAACTTAAAAAAGCAATTTGACTCCAGCACTGTAATTCTTGTTAAAGCTGCAGCTCTGCTGTCCTGAAACTGGAAAAAAAGCTTTATTTAGACTTGAAGCACTAGTTTGGGAACAATTAGAATGATTCAAGTGACATTTTGGACATAAATGATTGTGCATTGAGTTAACGAAGGAACATTTCAATTCATTTAAACAGCCCCTATAAAATACAGCAGAATGTAAAACATATGGTTGTTTTGTCCTGGATGTTTTACAAATGATCAGAAACCTTATCATTTCCAGTTGGCTTGTGCTTAAAGCAATCCAACACAGGAAAATTAATGTGGTATCTCTCAGAAGGTGGATTTGAACTTGGATCTTAATGTATGACAATGGGTTAGAAATGAGTTAAAATTGGGGTTATGAATCCTGGCCTTTGTGAAGCTGGATTTGAATATTCTTGATGTGGAGGTGCTGGTGTTGCACCGGGGTGGACAAGATCAAAAGTCACATGAAACCAGGTTATAGTCCATCAGATTTATTTGAAGTCACAAGCTTTTGAAGTACTGCCCCTTCATCAGATGAAGTCACTTGCCTGATGAAGAAGCAGCACTTGTGATCTCAAATAAACCTGTTGAACTATAACCTGGTGCCATGTGACTATTGACCCTGAGTACTCTGATCACACTGACTTGGGTTTAGTTCACAGGTAGAGTTCACTGCTAAGGAAACACAGCTTTTCTTCAAAGAGATGCAGGAAAAATGGATGGGTATTGGACAACAAAACTCCACTTTAAACTTACCTCTTCCCAACAGATCTGGTTAAATGGAGAAGATTAGGTTAATGAGAATGGAAGTGTGCATGCAGTCTTTGACATTTTAAGATAATCTGAACTTGTAATTGTGAGTAAACCATATCTTCCCAGCGATTTGGTGAATGACACAATCTCCTGTATTGCTGTTGCTGGAGTGAAAGAAGAAAAAAACTTCAAGGGAAACTGGGAGAAACATAAAAAATAGGCTAATGATAAGCATAATGCTCAACAGCATTCAAAATATTTTCAATTTTTTAACATATCTGATCGGACTTTTCAGGAAACATTGATTTTGAATATGTGCTAGTATATAGCTAGAGCTCCGTTAGATTTCAGGATGCAGTGACTTGTTAATGAGAGGGCAAAGAGTAGGGTCAGACTGAGCTTCTCTTCTTCCTTAACAGAAGTAGGTGATCTAATACGGATTTAGTTTGTTGGCTTCATATTACCAGAGTAAGAAGAGGCAGTCAAGATATGTGAAGAAGGTCACCACAGTGCAAGGCAAAGCTGCTGAAACTAAAGTTGTTCTTTGCTGCTGGCTAGACAGTCCATTGCTGTTCGATAAAAGTTGTGAACAAGACTGTTAGAGAGCACACAGAACAGTGATCTAGACATTGGTGGTTAAATTTGGCTTCAGCAGTTGTATAAAATTGGCTGAAGAAGAGTCTTACTGGACTCGAAACATTAACTCTGTTTCTCACTCCACAGATGCTGCCAGATCTGCTGAGTGTCTTCATCATTTTCTCTTTTTAGTTCAGATTTTCACCACCCACAATATGTTCGTTGTGTGAAAGAAAGGTCCAAAGGGCCATCACACCAGAACTGAAATAATTTTTTGACCTGGAGAAGCCAGATCACAGTAGAGGATGGCAAATTATTGCGGTGAGCAACAGCGATTATCCCAAGCAAAGGTTGCCATCAGATACTGGCAGGACTCCACCAGGGTCATCCAGGGGTTTACAAAATGTAGATGTTGGCAAGAAGTTATGTCTGATGGCCAGGATTCGAAGCAGACACAGCTGTGTTGGTGGGGCACTGCCAAGAGTGCCAACAAGGATGGAAATTACAGCAGCTGCCCCTCGTTCGTGGGAATGGCTGGGTAAACCCTGGACTCGGTTACACATTGACTATTCAGGTCCTTTCATGGGCTTGATGTTCTTAGTCATTGTGGATGCCAATTCAAAGCGCTCATCCATCAAACACGGGGACGACGGTAGAAAACCTGCATGCATCTTTTGCAATACATGGACTCCCGGAAGTGTTGGTCACAGATAACGGGCATCCATAGCATGTTGCTTTTATGAAAAATGAGTGGCTGTGAATTGGTAGCCTATTTTACCTACTCATTTAAATTCTTTTCATTTGACTTCAATTAATGACATTGCTGAGGCATTTGCCATTTTAATGGTATCCACGCCCATGTAGATGTACTAACCCTGACTTTCCACCCATGATGATAGCTAACTTTCGGAAATAATTTGTCACAATAATACTACCTAATGATACCGTGTTAAGATTCACACCTGTTGCCTTTATTGACACCATAATGGTTGACATGATTACAGAAACAAGGAATACTGAAAGTTGAGGTCAAACAAATTTGTGGAGTTTATTATAAGGATTTTTTTAAAAAAGGAAGAGCCATCTGGTTATTAAGCAGTAAAGTAGGACCTTAGCATAACTCTTGACTGGGAACCTCAAGCCCAGACTTTATTAGCTTCTGGATAATGGAGACGGGATGAAATAAATCTAAAATATACTTTTTGTAACAATTGGAGTGTGAGTCACTCAAGAAAGCTTCTTTAATCTATTGAGATGGCCAATTATATGCTATTCTAATACTCCAGCAATACCTTATATTTATATAGCACCTTCAACATAATAAAAAGTCCCAATGATTTTCACAAGAACATTACAAAATAAACTCTGGTCCTGAGCCATATAAGGAGATATTGTATGAGGACAGGTGACCAATAGCATGGTGAAAGATGCAAATTTTAAGGAAAACAAGGAGACTGAGACAAAGAGGCAAAAAAGGTTAGGGACAGGATTTCAGAGCTCAGGAATTTGGCAACTGGAGGCATGGCCAATAACGATGGAGTGATTAAAATTGCGGTGCCAAAAGACCAGAATTAGAGGATTGAGATATATCGGTGGGTTGTGGGGATGGAAGAGGTTACAGAGAAAGTTGGAATCCAGACTGAGAATTTAAAATCAAGCTATTGTTTGACTGGAGCCAATGTAGGTCAGTGAACGTGGGTTAATAGGTGAATGGAAGAAATCATTGTCCATTAATTTAATAAAAGCTTAAGGACTTTATTGAATACAATAGAAATAATTTTTTCTTTCTCCCACCAAGAGAATTTCCATAATGGTCTGCTGGGTTGACAACCATAGTTCAACATAGACCTGTAATCTTTTCCAATGACATATCTCTAATACAGGCTTTGAAACAAACCATTCCTAATACTGATAACATTCTTTCTCATGTCCCATATGTCAAACAACTTTCTGAGTAAAGATTAAACAAGGTGTCCTTGCGAATGATAAAGTGACTTCATAGGTTTCAGAAGGAAGTAGGTGGGTCTATCTTGAGTATCTGTTCCTTGGGTTTGGGTAAATGGGATTGAACAAGAGGCTGACTCGGGCATCCAACATCTACTAGAAAAGCAATGTTTGAGAGTGAAACTTCCAGCTTTCTATAACAGGAGGTGCCATATCAGGTTGGTGGAAGGGGAAAAGGTATAGGTAAGATACCAAGACAGGGGTGGAGTGATTGTCCAGAGATGTTACCTTTGAGAGAGATTCTACTTAATACACACTATATAGAGAAACGGGAGGGATCTTATTTCTATTATAAAGATGACAATCAGTCATACCTATGGATGAGCTAGACATTGACCCAGAAATTAACAAAATAACAAATACTACAAATCTGAATGAAGTCCGTCCAAGTCAAGACACAAGAATTCAGCGAGGTACAACTGACCTTTCTGGCCTGACATGAACACTATCTGGGAGAGGCCTTCTGATGGATTGAGTTTATGATGTCTGAGTCTCGGGGGGGAGGTGGGAATAGCATGCAAATATAAATATAGCAAATATGGATGAAGATCTGGGAGGAGGAGATGTCGTATTCATTTTGTAAGGGTTAAGGTCTGGGACTGTCCCACGTTGATGACGTAAGAGAAGACATGATTGAGAGAGTTGGAGGGAAAATGATCATGGTTTCAGCAAAATAAAAATATGTGTGTAACATTGTACACAGTTCCTTAATATATAATAAACGAGTTAATGTTTGAACATACCAAAGACTCAATATAGGCAGTTCCTGCATTGCAAATAGGTTCTGTTCTTGAGTGTGCTTGTGAGTCAATATGTACGTAAATCCAAGCACAAAACAGGACATTGTAAAGCAGTCATTTGTAAGTACAGGAAATGTTCATATGTCAAGTCTTTAAATTTACACACCCTGTATGGGATTGTGTTTGTAAATACGAACATTTGTAAGTCGGATGTTCATAACCTAGCTATAATCTTTGCAAAGCTAGACTAACCAACATGCAACAGCATCCCTCATGAATGGTGGGATTTTACAAAATATTGAATCTTCCACATACAAAGTGTAGTGTGTTCTGAGGGGTTAATGTTGAAATCTACAATGAGCTCCGCCAAATATGATGATGTCATCTGACCTTAGGTGGTAAAAGGCAGAACCACTTTGGATCTCAAAAGAGACATAACAAACATCTACGTCTCCCCAGAATCTTTGGAAAAATGTCTATCATACCAATATGCCATGTATATGATTACTTTCATGCAATTGCTTAAGACTGCAGCCTCTCCTCATTAGACTACCTAGTGGTTTTCCTCTGCCGTATTAGATAAAGCAGCCCTGTAGATCCCAATCTAAAAAGAGGATGGTGGCAACAAATCTATCTTATTGTGACCAAGAGTCCAATTAGCTCATACAACATGGTGCCAGCAGTGCTTTTCTGAAGATTTAATTTAGCTGCGCTATTGCAATACCATGATTTCTCATAACAGTGTGTTGTGAGACTTGACTTAAATAAAATAGCTTGTAGCTATGCTGCAGAATTCAAACAAGTCTGGCAAAATCCTGCTCGCCCCTCTCAGCTTTCCATTTTTAAACCTGTCAGTGGGCTCGGTCTCAGTTTTTAAATTTCTTGTTTTCCCAATTTGGAGGGGAGACCACTGAAGTCCTGACAAATATCCCAAACTTACCCAGAACGGTGGGTGTGATTGCTGATGAC